CGCAGCCTGTTCATTATCAAAATAAAATACAGTTAAAGAAACATAAAAAGTTACACTGCTCAATTTAAATAGTCTGTAGTACAGTCTGTGCCGTTCAGTGTGACCAGCGCCTCACTGCTAATATAGCCTATATGTGAAGGATGTTTTACGTCGTTAATGCGAGTGAAGAACAAAGCCTATAGTTTACATAATAAATAATAGGTTAGCATCCAGATACTTCGCGAATACTGAAACATTTGGATTCATGCAGAATGAGGGAGGTAGGCTTCAGTTTCGTTTTTAAATTAATTCGTTTCGGCTTGACCCTTATATTTAGCCTAAATACAACTTTAGAGGATTTGTTGTGGATAGAAGGGAACTAAAATAGCTTAATTGTGTTTGTAATTTTGCTTTTATTTACCATTATTTTAGCCTACATTATTTCTGAATGTAATAATAAAATGCAACGTACAGCCTACTAATTTAGCGCTTATAGGAGTAGCATTTTTTCTATCCGTGCAGAAACATTTTAAAATACCTTGAAAAAATAATCTTTTTATTGCGTTGACAGTTTTTTCTTTTGTTTAATACATTTAGTCTTTGGTAAATCTAGAAAAGATGATGCTGTATTGGCTATGACTAAGAGAGATCATTCAAGACTCTTCATGATTTTTTTTTGAGTAAATTAACCGCTGTACTTTATTATTTTTATTATTATTATTGGCAAAGAAAAAGTTAAAAAAATAACATTATTAACCAGTATGTTTTCTACTCAAACCGGTTTCACAGAGGAACGCAGGAACAGAAACGTTCAAATACCGATTCTGCTCCGAGTGAACCAATCTTTTTTTTCTTCTTCTTTTTTTTAAGCCCTGCTTTATGCAATTGACCAATATCGGTATCGGTATCGGAATCGGCCAATAGGTTTTTGTTAAAATCGGTATTGGTATCGGCATCGGCCAAAAAAAATCCTATCGGTGCATCCCTAAGTTTTATATACATATCTGACTAGATTTCAAAAACATTGCAGCCTTTTAACAGTGCAATCTGTACCATTTAACCATTTCTTTAAAAAAATATAAATATATTTTTGTAATACGTTCAGCATAACAAAATGTTTGTAAATCATATTGTGCCTATATATAGTTAGTAACTAAACTAACTATATATTTTTAACTATTACATCTTATGAGAGTCATAGACCCTGAAAACACATTAAGTAATTATGTATTAATCAAACAAAAATACGGCTCCTCAACACATTTGGCTCCCCATGACTCCGAAACCCCAGTGAGTCGTTTATTTGTCCCCCAGTGAGAGATAAACACAACAGGTAAAACAGATGCAGGATGTGGCCTGCCTGATGAAGATAGTATGTGTCAGAGCAGCAGGAGCGGTTGTGCACTCTCGTCACATGGAGCAACAAGTGGCCTCTCCACCTGTTTCTCCAGACAACAACAGCACTGGCTGAGGAAGAGCATCACTAATTCAATGGGTAAGACCTTCTGCAGGCGAGCAGCGGTGCAGAGTCACTCTCAGCGTATGGAAATACAGTTAGGGCTGTGGGATGGGATACCAGAGGGGGCTGGGGGACTGAAACACCTGTTTTCTCCACAGAGAAGTGTTTCAGTCAAATCCCACACTTTAATTGAAGGCATAAGGCAAGCATCGGCTCTCACAAAGGGGGGATTGAGAAAGCGCAAGGACCATTTGTTGCCACTCATTTAGCTGAGTTTATGTAACTGCCAGTACGAGGGAGACGAGACGGACCACTTGTAGAAAAACAGGAGAATTCGTATGACTAAATATGGCATGTATAGAAATGAAAAGTGTCACCTTATGAGTAAACGAGCCAATCACGTGTTTGCTTACTCTAGAATGTGGGCCAGCCTTTTGTAGCATCACTTGAGCTAAAGAGGCAACATTTTGCATTTTATTTCTAATGTGAAAGATGTTATTGAAGATTAACCTTGGTCTTAGAGATTTGGGCTGCATCAAAAATTGCATACTTCCCAACTATACAGTAGGCAAAAATTAGCATGTGAAAAAGTAGTATAGTATGTCTGAATTAACAGTATTCATAAAATAGTAGGCAAAAAGTACTATTTCTGGTGAATTAGTATTTTTTATCAGGCTCCAATGTTTATGTTCAGTTATTTCACTTTAATGGCAATGAAAAAAAACCTATTCATTGCCATTAAAGTGAAATTACTGAACCTACACACAAGATTCTGATAAAAATTTTCATTTTAGAAAAAAATTTCAAACGGCACTTAGAGGCTTTTGCATCTGAACCCTTCATATATATAATAGTGCTGTCAAATGATTAATCGCATCCAAAATAAAAGTTTTTGTTTACATAATATATGTTTGTGTATATTCATTATGTATATATAAAAGCACACACACAGTAAATATTTTGAAAATATTTACATGTATATTTATATTAATATAATTTATATTATATGTAAATATATTTAATATATAAACATTACATATTTTTCTTAAATATATACATGCATGTGTTTGTATTTATATATACATAATAAATATACAAAGTACGCACATATTATGTGAGCAAAAACGTTTACTTTGGATGCGATTAATCGCAATTAATCATTTGACAGCACTAAAATATAACCATAATATAATATGTAACAACTGCCGCTATACCTGATTTCTTCTCCCAGTACGATTGACAGAAGGGGATTTGGTTGAATTTCTGGGAGATATTTTGGTGGGCTCAGAATAAACTCCATTGATCTGGCCCACATTCATCACAGTGTTCATCATGGAGTTGATAGAGGACAGCTCCTCCTCTGTTCTAACTCCACCTTCATCATCATCTCCATGTTCTGGTTTGTCTGTTCCATCACAGTCTGCTTCTATAAATCAGATAAGAGTGAGTAAATAATAGGGCCTTTCACACCGCTTTAGTTCCAGAACTAAATGTACAGTACTAAAGTACTGGGACGATTTTGCACGAACTATTTCCCAGTACCATTTAAAGGGTTGCATTTGCACCGACAGTGTGGACTAGGAAGTGATGTAAGCCGGTCGACAGCGACGTCATTTGTGAGCGGCGTTCAACAACAGAAACAAAGAAGAACAACGTTAACAACAGGAGGATGGAGGACGCTGTGATCGGAGCTGTGTTTTTGTTGTGTCTCGCGGGTTTCACAATAATGGACATGGAATGTCGACGTATACGTAAAGCGATTGAAAGAACGGAAAGGAAGACTAAGAATCTCCAACGACAACTGGCAGTGCTACATTTGCTAGTATGTGCCTGCACTTCAGCGTCCGTCCATCTATCGCTGTTCTCCATACTTGCAAAATAAGTTGACACAATAGGCTTGTTTGAGATGTGCCTCGCCTCACCTGAAATGTAGGCAAGAGTAGGCGGCTGCAGTTAGGGGAGGAGTGAAATAAGCGCAGTCTAGACGGACAGTTCTGACCTCTCGAAGTGGAACAGATACCAACGAGATCAAAGGCAGATATCGCGTTATTCCCACTCACGGGTAGTACCAGTTGTGCTGGTTAGACCCTGCTCCGGAGTAGGAGCTAATTTGGTTCTCGAAAAAGGCAGTCCGGTACTAAAATCGCACCCAGTTCCGGCGGTGCGAAAACGCCAAAAAGTGGGTAGTTCCACAATTAGTTCTGGTACTATGAAAAGGTTCAAATGCGGTTCAGGTGCGAAAGGCCCTATTGACAGAATCTTTATTTTTTGGATAAACTGTCTCTCTTAGAGCCACTGTGGCATCTTACCTTCAACTGGTTCTGGTATATGTGTGGAGGACTGATTGTTCATAGCCTCTTCTGACAAATGAGACTGTTCATTCACATCAGCAGCACCAACAGCACTGCTGACAGTCTTCTCAGGGGAGGCACTTTCCATTTCTAAGAACAGAGAATATCTGTTACTCACACAGAACTCAATATGACAAATTTTAAAAGATACACCCATTAATAAATTACTTTTCTCATATGCAAAGGAGGCCATGTGGAAATCATCTTATCATTGCCTAAATGGTTACAGTTAATCTCTGCAGCAGCTGTAGTGCGTTTTACAGGAGCAACTTTATCAGTCAACTTCCTCTTTTAGCACATGTGCTTCTTAATTGTTTTCTTACATTCAAATAGACAAAACGAATAAAAACAACAACAACTCTATATTATGAACATTAAAAGGACTATGCTAAGACTGCAAAAGGCCCTGATATTAAAGCAAATTTTTATTTAGGTTTGTAAATGCATGATGGATATAAGTCTCTTTCAATGGCTGACCAAAAAGACTAAAAGAAAGTCTTTGAGAAGGCTCTGTTGAGGTTTGGATGTGATTTGGATGTGACATTTTTATATGCATGTATACTACTCTTCAAAAGTTTGTGGTCGGTAAGATTTTTTGTTTTTGAAATAAGTCTCATGAAGGCTGGATTAATTTGATTAAAAATATAGTAAAAACAGTAATATTACAATTTGAAATAACCATTTTCTATTTTAATATATTTTTAAAGTGTAATTTAATCCTGTGATGGCAAAGCTGAATTTGATTCCAGTCTTCAGTGTCACATGATCCTTCAGAAATCATTCTATTATGCTGATTTCCTGCTCAAGAAACATTTCTTATTACCAATATTACTAGTATTTTTGTGGAAACCATAATACTTTATGGATCCTTTTATTAATGAAAAGTTCAAAAGAACAGTATTCATTTCAAACAGAAATCTTTTGTAACATTATAAATGCCTTTACTTTCACTTTTGATAAATTAATGCATCCAATTAATGCAAATTAATGACACCAAACATTTAAATAGCAGTGTACATATTGGATTTAAAAAGCGACATTCTTCCCACAAACATCTCAATTTGAACTGAGCTCTATGTATTGTGCTGTCTAAAAGTCAAGATAGGAAAAGAACTGGCTGTGGACTGTTTGAGGCAGCTGTGGGAGTGTGATACTTCAGCGAGAGAGGCCCATCCCAGTGAGGGGGGTGGTGCAGGGTGAGGAGACGACGGAGAGAAAGATGAACGACACATACGTGAGAGCGAAGGAGGAAAACACAGAGAGAAAAGTGCAATGTGAGAAAAGTGTAGAGAGAGGACTGGAAAAGAGAGTCGAGAGACTGGATGCATGTCCACACGGGAGAAACGTAGAAATGTCTTTCTGCTGTGAAGAGAAGAACAGTAGGGGGTTGGGTTGAGAGGCAAAGCAGGAAGTGGCTGTGAGAGCAGTGGAGGGTAGACGGTTCTCTGCTGTACTCTCTCTTGCTCTAAGCATGTGGCCCTGTAGCAGGGTGTGATCGCCTCTGCTGGAGGGGGAGGGTAGGAAATCCCCCTCCCCGCTCCCACCATCCCAAACTCTGCACATGTATTTCCACTGGTTGGAAAAGTGAGGACGGAGGAGTCTGATTATCCTCCATTTCTATAAGGATTCAGCTTTGAGGAAAAGAGATGCACATATTCTGCAGTGTAATGCACCTTTTACACTGACAGAGATTTTACACCTCAGGTCACCAGGTTGCTAGTAAGCATTGCTATGCATCATATCAAAATTAAAATGAACGATTATTACTAGTGTATGAATTAAATGTTGAATTACTTCAAATGACCACAACTCAAATAGATTAGTGAAATCTCTATAGTTTTGCTTCTCATTTGCATTAAGCTAGACTTTTCTCAACTCTGAACACGTCCAAATTGCATCACCAATGGTCGCTGTTGCTTATGTTGACAGAAACCATCCACTTTCACTGAAAACAAATGACATCTGGTCAATGTGTTGCTGCAGATCGCTATCATTGTCAGGCCCTCAAAGCCTGACACCGAAAAAGTTTCACTTAAAGCCAACGATGTGTATCTTTGTGCTAATTTATTTATTTAAAAATGCACTGAGATCATTTCAATGCTTGCGTGCTGAATTAATGCATTCATTTCTTTCAAAAGAAAAAAACCTGATTTCATTAGCTGCGTTTCCGTTACCCTTCAAATTGCACAAATTGAAATTGAAAATTGAAAATACACCTAATGGAAACGCGCCAATTTCGCAAAAACTCCTACATATCGCAAAAAAAGTTTTTACGCATGCATGAGGTGGTTTTTTAGGCAATTTGAAAAAGGAATATAATCGCAAAGCTGCAATGGAAAAAAATTTTTCCCCCACATTTACAGGTCACCTGGCATACGTAAAAATCACATGATCATTCTTTAATTTACTATAACCTCCAAGAAACCCACCATATGTGGCCATTCTCAAGTATAAGGGGCTTTCCTTGCCATTAATGCTTGGATGGATAACCCCTTATTTACACTGCACATGTCTGCGGCACATTATGGCTCCAACACAGCCAACAGAGCTGATCGCGGCAACTCTAGTCAATGCTTGTGATTATACCAGCTGCGCGCGGCACGTAACCATCGCAGAAGTGGCTCTCCGCTCTGCTTTGCTAAAGATACACGCATACATCTCCTTCAATTAAAAATAATGGCTAATGCGGTGGCTGCGATATACGTAAACCTACCAACATCTGTCGCCATGACTTATCGCGAGAGGAAAAAATTACGTTTTAGTCGCATAACATTGGTTAATGGAAATGCCACCATTTTGCGATAGATTTATCGATATTTATAAAATATTGCAAAAGTTTTGAGC